GTCGATTCTAAGAGGTTTATAGTATAGCTTTGCCTATTTTAAGTTATAAAGTATATATCTATACTAGTCCCTAGTCCGCGTACTATACGCGTTCCGGATAAGACTTAGTATAAGCGTTTAGATTAGAATTACTATATAGCGCGTTTTAAATAAAACTTAGTATAAGCGTTATAAATAGTAGTACTAACTATTAGCGCTCCGGATTAGACTTACTATGTACGTTCCGAATAGTACTTAGTATTATAAGCGTTCTAAATTAGACTTATTCTTAGTATTATAGATATTCTATAAAGTACTCGCTATAGGCGTCCTATAGGATACTCGTAGTAGGCGTTATATAGGGTACTCGCTATAGGTAGTTCGAATACTATTTACTATAGGCGTTTTAGATAGTATTTACTATAAGCGTTCCGGATAGTACTACTCGCTATAAGCCTTCCGGATAGTACTTAATATAGGTATTTAGTTTCGGATAAGACTTGCTATATACGTTCCGGTTTATATAGGACTAACTATACTAAGCGTTTAAAATAAGGCTTATCCTACGCGTTCCGGGTAGTACTGCTCGCTATAGGTATTCTATAGAGTACTCGCTATAGGCGTTTTATAAGGTACTCGTAGTAGGCGTTATATAGGGTACTCGCTATAAGTAGTTCGAATATAGGCGTTTTAGATAGTGTTTACTATAAGCGTTCCGGATAGTACTATTTGCTATAGATACCTCGGATAGTTACCGCTATAAGCGTTTCAAATATTGCTACTCGCTATAAGCGTTTTTAGTAGTATTTACTATAAGCGTTTCGGATATAACTTGCTGTAAGTATTCTAAATAGTGCTTACTATTAGTATTCTAGATAGTACTACTTGCTATAAGCGTTCTTAATAGTACTTACTATTAGCGTTCCGAGTTAGACTTACTATACGCGTTCCGGATAAGACTTAGTACATACTTGCTGTAAGCGTTCTTAATAGTACTTACTATTAGCGTTCCGAATTAGACTTACTATACGCGTTTCGGATAAGACTTAGTATAAGCGTTTCGGATTAGAATTACTATATAGCGCGTTCTAAATAAAAATTAGTATAGGCTATAAATAGTAGTACGCTATAGGCGTTTTATAGGGTCCTATACGTTCCGGATAGTACTACTCGCTATAGATATTCTATAGAGTGCTTACTATAGGCGTTTTATAAGATACTCGTAGTAGAGGTTATATAGGTTACTCGCTATAGGTAGTTCGAATATAGGCGTTTTCGATAGTATTTACTATAAGCGTTCCGGATAGTACTACTCGCTATAGATATTCTATAGGGTACTCGCTATAGGCGTTTAACAGGGTACTCGTAGGAGGCGTTATATAAGGTACTTGCTATAAATAGTGCGAATACTATTTAACTATAGGCGTTTTAGACAGTATTTACTATAAGCGTTCCGGATAGTACTACTCGCTATAAGCCTTCCGGATAGTACTTAATAAAAGCATTTAGTTTCGGATTAGACTTAGACTTACTTTATATATTCCGGATAAGACTTTCTATAAGCGTTTTAGATTAGAATTACTATATAGCGCGTTCTAAATAAAACTTAGTATAGGCGTTGTAGATAGCAGTACGCTATAGATATTCTATAGAGTACTCGCTATAGGCGTTTTATAGGGTACTCGCTATAAACAGTTCGAATACTATTTACTATAGGCACTTTAGATAGTATTTACTATAAGCGTTCCGGATAGTACTACTCGCTATAAGCCTTCCGGAATCCAGATAGTACTTAATATAAGTATTTAGTTCCGGATTACACTTAGACTTATTTTATATATTTAAGATAAGACTTTCTATAAGCGTTTTAGATTAGACTTACTATAAGCGTTCTAGATAGTACTATTTGCTATAGATATCTCGGATAGTTACCGCTATAAGCGTTTCAAATATTGCTACTCGCTATAAGCATTTTTAGTAGTATCTACTATAAGCGTTTCGGATACAACTTGCTATAAGTATTCTAAATAGTACTTACTATAGGTATTTTAGATAGTACTACTTGCTATAAGCCTAAGCGTTCTTAATAGTACTTACTATTAGCGTTCTAAATTAGACTTACTATACGCGTTCCGGATAGTACTTACTATACGCGTTTAGATAGGACTTACTATAAGCATTTCGGATTAGAATTGCTATATAGCGCGTTCTAAAGCGTTCCGGATAGTACTACTCGCTATAGATATCTCGGATAGTAACCGCTATAAGCGTTTCGAATACTACTACTCGCTATAACCGTTTTTAGTAGTATTTACTATAAGCGTTTCGGATATAACTTGCTATAAGTACTCTAAATAGTACTTACTATAGGTATTTTAGATAGTAGTACGCTATAGATATTCTATAGAGTACTCGCTATAGGCGTTTTATAGGGTACTCGTAGTAGGCGCTATACAGGGTACTCGCTATGAATAGTTCGTAGTAGTTAATATAAGTATTTAGTTTTAGATTAGACTTAGACTTACTTTATATATTCCGGATAAGATTTTCTATAAGCGTTTTGGATTAGACTTAGTATACGCGTTCCGGTTTATATAGGACTAACTATACTAAGCGTTTAAAATAAGGCTTATCCTACGCGTTCCGGATAGTACTACTCGCTATAGATATTCTATAGAGTGCTTACTATAGGCGTTTTATAAGGTACTCGTAGTAGGCGTTATATAAGGTACTTACTATAAACAGTTCGAAACGTTCCGGTCTATATAGAACTAACTATACTAAGCGTTTAAAATCAGGCTTATCCTACGCGTTCCGGATAGTACTACTCGCTATAGATATTCTATAGAGTACTCGCTATAGGCATTTTATAGGGTACTCGTAGTAGGCGTTATATAGGGTACTCGCTATAAACGTTTTTAGTAGTATTTACTATAACCGTTTCGGATATAACTTGCTATAAGTATTCTAAATAGTACTTACTATAGGTA